AGTACAGTGCCCTGATAGCACGCTACATCAACTTTTGGAGCCAACCCTACCCGCCTGCCAATCATACCTTACCCCTCCAAGGATGACCAACACCTTCGCCAGCGCATGCCAATAAATATCTCCAAGTTACTAATAGATACTCTAATTGTGATAAATGATGATAGGGCATGTGCACAATGAGGCGCCAGTGCCGTCACCCGGATTTCAAGTTTGTGGTTGCATGGATAAGCTCACGGGCGGAGTGGGAGGTGAAAAAAAATATATGAGTTGGCAAAAACCCCGGAGATCCTCGGGGGGTGGGCGAGAGGCGCGGGTGATGCAAGATAAGCCCGAGGTGCTGTTCGCGGCCACATCTTCGGGACGTGGTGGTGGGAGCGGTTGATGAGGGTTGTCTGGAAAAGGAACGGGAACCGAACAAGTAATTATGATAATAATGAGTTGGTGCGTGAGTTGGCGGATGAATATGGATGGGGTGTTGTACCGTACTCGAGTCATCGTGGGGAAGGGTGGGTGGGTGGTTGGTCTGCGGGTTGGAGGAAGGGGGGGGGGGGGGAGGAGGCGATGTCAGTGGGTACCGTATTGTCATTATTTTTTCCTGTGTAGCGTTGGGTGTGGTTTTGTAGTGGTGGTGGTGGTGCTGCTGCTGCTGCTGCAGAGGGTGCTGTGGGGTACACTACGGGGACGGGTGGTGGGGGAGCGTGGTCTATTGTGGGGGAGACGTTATCTGGAGGATGATAGGTGGTGGGCGGGTAACACGGATATCATTAGGGAATACAGTGCTGTATCCGAGACAAGCGCTCTCTTCCTACGTCAGAGGTTTAACCTCCGGTTACCGGTATGGTTGGGGGTAGTCTTCCGTGTGATGCTCCAGTATCAAACCCTGGCAGATAACGTGGGCGATAACTACCCGGCCGATCACCGGTCCGAGAAGGTTTATCGATAAACCGCCCGGTTCCCGTCTGGCGCAATGTAGATTACCAAATACATGATGTTATGGGCGATAGAGGAACGCAATGGATGATCACACCTCGATCCCTATAAATCGCTACAAACGACGGACACGGATGACTTAACTTCAATTCATGGGGAGAGAACAAACAAAAAAACGTTAGAGATCCCTCGACAACCCTCCCCTCATAACACCCACCTGCAAATATATATACGCTAGCAGTTCATCCTAAACTCCCATCGCAAACCCGTACCCGAGCAGGCAGTACCGGTATCCCATCTGACCCGGTAGCACAAGTCACGTGAAATCACCAGGTAGGCAGGGCTCTTTCTTTTTCCCAAGCAAGCACAACGGCAACGGCAAATCTCAGATGCACATTTCGCGTCAGACTTTTAACCTTAATCGACATAAGCTCTGTGCGGTTCCTGCGGGGGGGACCGTGTTTTGGATCGATCCAATCAATTGGCTGATCCGTTGCTGAACGAATGCTGGTGTGATCCTGGCTCGTTTTGGGTCACTTTTTTGTGCCATGCTGTGGGCTAGGGTTCTGGGGGAGAGGAGGAGGGAAAGGATAAACATCCCTGGAGATCGGGGAGGCTCCTGGTGGCGAATAATATGGTGATTGGAGCACGGTACGGGAACGTGGATTGGAGAATGGGGTGGGCCATGACGGGGAAGCGCAGGTACGGCTGGGCGCGGGAGAGAGAGGGATAGAGGAGGGGGGGGGACGTGCTGGAGGCGGGTGGGTGGGTGGGTTAGGTGGTTGGAGGATCGTCGGTAGTGGCACTCTTCCTGCTTTTTGGAGGGGAATGCGGTTCTGATTTGTAAATGATCGTCCAGGGGCCGATCCGGCAGGGGTTTGCAATCCCTGATGGGGTATCATAGCGTCCCTGGGATTTTGGTAGTGCCGATTCCACCATATTCATCGAGGATCTGAACGAGTGATACAAAATGACGAAGGGATTAGAAAGGGCGCCCTGGTTGGTTATCTTTTTTTTTTCTTCCGTATTTTTTTTATATACCTTTAAATTCTGATCGGGATTGCCTCTTCTCTGCATTTACCTGTGGGAAATGCTACATTAATGGTGCGTGCCTGAACATGTGGCTATTGCGAGAGCAAAGATAGATTGCACATACAGGCGATTTGGTAGCATTTAGTGAACGTGACTGCTGCCGCATATGACAAGGCGAACAAAATAGTTGGGTCAACTGAAGTATTACCGGGATTTGGCCCTTCTTGTTTAGGAACCAGTAGTTTGCCGTGTTGTACATACTTTACACTTTGTGCGAGGTGGTTGTCTGATAAACAGTTCCTCTGTCCCCTTTGGTCCCTCTTGTGCTATATTGGAACCTCTATCTATTCTCTTGTTACCCCGTAATAAAATTTAGAAAAGTTATAGTATTTCCTACTCACCTTCAAGTTGGTTATATATCAGAAAGTTATTCCAGTCAACCAAAAGTCTAAGTAGTAACTACCAAGTGATAAATACATTCAACTTGAATAAATTTCTACAAGTATGCCAGTGGTCCAATGGCTCTACTTTTAGTATAATATTATATAGTTTGATATTACTGATACTTATCCAAATATATTTATACTGGCTTGAAAGATTTACTACAATTACTAGTTAATATTTCTCCCTTTTTCCATAATTGTTAAATCCAAATACTATCTTACTAATACATTTTATATATCATTGATTCTAAGTATAGTTTTCAGTTGCACAGTTATTCTGGTAGTGTAAGGACCTCAGGTATAATTTCTGATATTATAGCTGATGTACTTAAATAATAGATTACAGATTATATTGACCTATTTCAGGCTACTCAGATATACTCATATGATACCTTATATTTTCCTTGAAGAATTTATTATTCTCACAGTAAACCAATACTAATCCATATATTAAAGTAATAGAAAATTATGTTTTAAGAGATAGGATCCTACTTCAATTTACCAGAATCACTTACAGCATCTGGTTCTCGAGTTCCCAACTTTCAAAGTCACTGCCAGCTGTTTACACTTTAAATACCCTGGTAGTTTTTATTTTTTTCTCAAAATAGCATTTCAATTGATCTCATACTTAAACTCTAATATTACACTATTTCTAAAACTCTATTGGTAGGAGGTATACTAGAGAAAATAGTATCACTTGAATGAAATCCCTATTGCCTATAAATAGTCTAACTCTGTGATTCTTATTTGCTATTATATCGATGCAGGGGTGTTTTACGCATTTCCTCATAGAATCACACTTTACAGGTATACTTTCAGGCAGCAGAGGAGATGCCAACTAGTTATATCGACCCGTGTTATAGAAGAGCAGGTGCTGTGCAACTACTACTACTACTACTACTACAGGATTTCTAGGCGGGTGTCGTAGAGTTGTACAGCCCAGCTGCGTGGAGCCATTGATACGCGTATCATATTCGAGCTCGCTGAGAATATCACTAGCGCCAATTATATACAATTTGGGGAAAACCGTTGAGTCTATGTGGTATCAAGCCGTTGTTTTACCATATCATAGATTTTGAGTTAATGCGCCTAGATTCAAACCAACGCTTTAGAGCACCGTCATGCTGGTATAGGTCTAGCTGTATCAATGAAGAAAAATGTGTTTCGCCCGCCGGGTCTCGATGGACTATTGCTCATGCAAGTTGGGCTTGCCCGGTCACCTGATGACAGGTGTTTATATAAGCTTACGTACAAGGTCAGAAACAGCACAAACTCCACATTTCCTGTGCTAGGAGGGAAGCATTGCATTAAACTGAGGTGCTGGCGGTTCTGTAACGACACAAGTCTGATCTTTGAAAAGGCAGTAATTGGAGGTGCTCAAGGCCGCAGCCTACAGGAGCCGACTCTATCTGTGGGTTTGGTGATTCACTAGCCTACCTTCCAGCTGTCCGTCCTAGGTGCCTTGACTTTTGCAGCTACGAGTGATCCTGAGTGATTAGAGCGCACCAGACAGGCACAAACTAAGGAAGGCTGCGGCGGCGGCCGAGGCTATAGGTTGTGGGGATAGCCACTATGGGTGGGCCGAGATTCGCACTGTTCCATGAAGACGGACCTCCTGTGATATGGCAAACGTAGGCTGCAAGCTTAAACTTCTCCTCCAGAGTGGATCTTGTCACAAAGTGTTTGTTCCCACATCCGTGCGGGGTGCTGGTTGATGCCAAGACTTGGCAAATTCCGTCCAAGCGAACTTTGGCCTTCAGAGCCGCAATTGACGGCAGCGAGAATTGGCGGATCAGAGAAGGGCATGCACGATCAATACAACGGATTGGTCGTGCGAGGATAGAAGCTTTCGGAAGAAAAGAAGAAAAAAAAAAGAACGCAAACATTTACTCTTGATAGCCCAACATTTGGGGGTTTTTCTTGTGGGAGGGAAATACTCGCCAAGTGCGCAGGTAGGAGGGAGAGGAGAGAGAGGGAAAAAAAAAATAAAAGAAAGGAAAAACGTGAAGGCAGAGAACAAAAGGGCACAAAAAAAGAGAGGAAAAAGAAACCACCGCGCGACAGGGGGGGGAGTTTGTGCCGAAGTCTCGTTGAACTTCCCTTTTCTCGCCTTTCTACAGTGAGCTCTCCTCCACACTTCGCCCCTCCAAAAACGATCATAGACAACGGGGCTTGACCTGCTAATCTCTCCCGCTGGCAGCTGACCTTTCTATCGTCGAAGTCGTCCTCTCCTTTTGATTGCTCGCGAGAATCGGAGCCGGCTCGGGAGCCAAAAAAAATTATCGCGGATCCTTTGGAAAATAATAAAAAAAAAAGGGAAACCATCCTTTGAGAGGAACGGGCACTGTCAATTTGCTTCGCGTATCGCCATTCCCAAACTGTCTGGTTTGGCTCGTTTTTCCTCAAAAGGTTTGAGGTTTTTTTATTTTTTCTTGGGGGGGCATTTCGTGGTCGGCGTGCTCCTCGAGCTTGGAGGAGCGACACCTGGGGTGGACGAGCCGACAGAACACCACCCTTCCACCACTGCCTCTCCCCCAACACAAAGGCAACCGCTCCAACTCCAACCACCACCACCACATCTTGAGAATACAAAAAATGTTAGCGGGGGCTATAAACGCTTCTCCGAGTCCAGGCAGCGAGGGGCTGAGGAATATACGCCTCGGTGACTCGCCCAGGTGTAGTTCGGCAGGAGTTGGAAGGTACTCCAAGGTGGCTGTCCCCGATGAACCCAAGATGGGGGCCAGCGGAGGCTCGTCAAGCGTATCGTCTCGGGGGAATACACCATCGCCTCAGTCCAGTGAAGCGAGTGTTAAGCAGGGAAGTGGGACGCCGCCTCGAAAATCTCAGCGTGCAGCGCCTCGGAAATCGGCCAGGAAACCGCCAACCCTTTTCGCCGATTATCCTGACAGCACCCAAGAAGCGACTTCCACCTTCTCCGTCATCGACGAATGTATCTACAGTACCAAATCAATTGGTGACTCCGGCCAGGATGATGAAGTCATGTCATGCGAGTGTAGAACGGAGTGGGGTAAGTGATTATCATCTCCCTCATTTCCCCTCTTCTCATCCCTATATCGTCGTGATGCCCCAATTCCGGGCCTTCCGCGCGGGTTCCCATTTCGCTTACGTTCGACCGTCGCAACGCAGATGGCGAATGCAATGTCGCGTGTGGTGACAATTCCGATTGCATAAATCGTATGACATCTATGGAGTGCACTCAGGACGACCGCGCTTGCGGCCAGGATTGTCAGAACCAGCGATTTCAGAAGCGCCAATATGCCGACGTCTCTGTTATTAGGACGGAGAAGAAGGGCTTTGGCCTCCGGGCGAATTCCGACATTGCGGCCAACACCTTTTTGTACGAATACGTTGGGGAGGTTATCGACGAAAGCAAGTTTCGCAGGAGGATGGAAAAGTATGATTCGGAAGGGATTAAACACTTCTATTTCATGTCCCTGGGAAAGAACGAGTTTATCGACGCTACGAAAAAGGGAGGGCTTGCTCGGTTCTGCAATCACTCGTGCAACCCGAATTGTTTTATCGATAAATGGGTTGTCGGGGAGAAGCTGCGGATGGGTATCTTCGCCAAACGAGACGTGAAGGGGGGCGAGGAGTTGGTGTTCGATTACAATGTGGACAGATATGGCGCGGAACCGCAGACCTGCTATTGCGGAGAGTCTAATTGCCTCGGCTATATTGGAGGTAAAACCCAGACGGATGGGGCCGCACCCAAGCTTTCACATCACATCATCGAGGCCTTGGGACTGGAAGATAGCGAGGAATGGTCGACGGCGACAGCGAAGAAAGGTCGACGTCCGAAGAAGGCTGATGGAGACGATGAAGACTATGTCGAGAGTGTACAGTCAAAACCGCTTGGCGAAGCGGATGTCACGAAGGTCATGTCTTCCCTTTTACACTGCAAGGAAAAATGGATAGTCAACAAACTTCTCCACCGAATTCAACTTAGTGAGGATGAAGCCGTTCCGGCGCGTGTGGTGAAGATGCATGGCTACCAGATCATGGGCAAAATTCTGCACGACTATCAATCGGACGAGAACGTTGTGTTAATGGCTCTTGACATTTTAATGAAGTTTCCTCGCATCACCAAGAATAAGATCACAAGTTCCAAGATCGAACCGACAGTGCAGCAGCTCAGCACTGCGGAGGATCAGCGTGTTCGGGAGGCGTCGAAGGCCCTCTTAGAAGTGTGGAGTAGCTTGGAGACCGGATTCCGCATCCCGCGGAGAAGTAAGGCCGACATGGAGCGAACAAGGTCGGTGTATCAGGCCTATGAGAGGGAATCAAGTTCCAAATCAAAGTCCAATTCGCCGCAGTTGGAGAAACCGTTAACACCGAATGGTCCAAATCGACCAAGACCGTTCGCGAAATCTGGCTTTCAAAACCAGCCCCCTCGTGGGCCCCGCGCGGAGCAGTTTCAACGGCACAATGACAAACCACGCCGAGATCTGCCATGGGGCTGGCATAAAGCGCATACCGCCGATGGAAAATTCTACTATTATTCCAACGACGGGAGAGCTCGCTGGGAGGTTCCACAAGAGCCATGTACCTCTGATGCGAGACTTCCACATCCGCCGCCACCTCCCCCACGACCTGGAGACTATCCCTCACGCCCTGGAGATTATTCCTCACGCCCCGCAGAGTATCCCTACATCCCGCAGGATCAGAAGCGAATAGCTTTACAGGCGATCATTGACGACATCACCCGCTCCCGTTCCACTGAGAAACTGAACAAACAAGAACAGGAGCGCCTTAAGGAAGAAGAGAGAGTACGTCAAGCCGAAAAGGAAGCCGATTCAAAGCGAGCAAAGGAAATGCTCAAGGAGAAGGAGAGGGCCCAAAGAGATGTTGAGAAGACTAAGCCACCGAAAGTCTACGACGATGAGAAAACCAAAAAGATTCTCATAAGAACTGTAAGTTTTTTTTTTTACGATGAAAAGGTCTGTAACGGTTCATGCTAATTGTCGGATAGTTCTCTACAGTCGTGGCAAATGCCGTGAACAAATATGAATCGCAGATAGGCGGCAGGGACCTTGTAAAGAAACACGCTAAAGATGTGAGTCTACTCTTAAGAGCATATATACAGTGTGATATACTGACAACAAATTATCAGATCACGGAACTCCTCGTTAAAAAAGAAATGAAAGACGGACGCCAAATCGCCAACCCCCATCTCCTCCTTGAGTCAGATAACAAGCGCCTAAAAGTCAAGGCATTTGTCAAGCCCTATATTGAGAAGGTCATCAGAAACAACAAGCTATACATGGACAATTGCAAACGGGAAAAACAAAAAGGTTCTTCCAGCGGCCATAGGCCGGAGTCCTCGTCTAGCTCCGAGAAGAATAAAGATGTTGCTTCCGAATCCTCTCTCATGCCTTCGGTTGCGGCGACTTCTATAATCGATAGTATCGGGCCAAGTACCGATGCACCAATAATCGGAGCCACCCCTCTTGCCGCCGCTGGGAAGAGACGTCGGGAAGAGGTAGAAGAGGCCAGTGGAAACTCCGACATTGTGGCCGAGAACGAAGGAGGAGACCTCAAGAGACCGAGGCCCAGTCCTCCTCCAAAGGATGTGACCCCTCCTCCCCCAACAGGTGTCACAGAGGTAATGGCTGGGGGAGGCAGCGTCTATGTCTGTTGAGAGATTCTCTACTAATCGTTCCTTTCTCCTACAGGTCACATTTTCTGGTAACTAAAGCGAATTTCTGAGCAATAAGAGGTGCCTACTTTAAGGGGGGGTGGAGAATAGAGAGGAGCTGATGTGAACTCATGAGCGCTTTCTGGGATCCTCCCCACATTTCTTTACGCTTGGTCTTGCTCCGTTTTTTTTTTTATTTCATTGTATTCTGGGTTGTTTGCTGGGTTCTTTTTCTCTCTTCTTATCTTTTACGGATTTCAAATTTTTCTTTACTTCAAAGGCTTCTTCATTTAAATAATCTCAACCACAACGCCAATAACGTTCTCGCCCCCCCCCCCCCCCATTCCCTTCACGCACTTATCGGCTTTATTTCTTTTCAGTATTCCCCCCCTTTCCTCCTCTTCGCTTCTTATGTATTTTTAGTACTTTGCGTTTCTGTGTTTACAATATCTCTGGCTGCATTTTGTTCCTCCCACCTTTTATTTCTTGTTTGATTGACTGCTCATTTGTTTCTTTTCTTGTGGGAGTTTGGCAAAAAAAAAATTCATCGGGCTCGTGTGTTTCTACAAAATGTATGTATCTATTACCTCCTTTGTATCAGTGCGTGAGTAGAGTTTAGCTGCTACTACGCGTGAATCTGAAAAATTATACTCTGAGGGGCGTTGAGTTCTGTGGGGATGATGGGATGGGAGGAAAGGGAAGGGAAGGTGAATAGATTTGGGGGAATCAGGGGAGGAGGGGGGGGGGCATTGAGCGAGTTTACCATGGAGATGGGAGTAATGGACCGATCATGGGGCGATTCGGGAAGGAAGGAAAAAGGCGTTTCTCGGAGTTTCTCTATACGATGTGGAGTGAGGGGCAGGAAGAGGAGGAGGAGGAGGAGGAGGGGGAGGAAAGCTAGGGATGATTCTTCCTCTTTCTCCTTCTCTTTCATCGCAATGCATAATCTCTGCTAGGGTGGATGGACGGATAGATTTCTTGTCGACATAAACATTTCTCTGATCAAAGAAGTAGTAGACCGAGACGGCCCTACGTGAAGCACAGCACTGTACTTTCGAGAAGAATCAAAACTAAAATTAAAGAAAAAAAATACCCCAGCGAAATGAAATGAAATACCGTACGGTAGTTTTGTATGTATAATACGTATGTGTGAGAGTAGAATATGATTCCTCATGATGCGCTCCCAGTCTATATCATACCAGTTCTTCTTGGCATTTCTATATTGTGAGGGTAGTGGGTGAGTGGAATTCAAAGGGCAAGCGTAAATATTACAAATACAAGTATCATATCATACCTTAGGACGAAGTGTATGAAGCTTTAGTCCCGGTATGAGCTAAACATTTTTTTTTCGCATTTTTATATATATATCAAGTCATGGATACAAGCACCGTAACTTATAATATCGATACCAGTAATTTAAGTTAAAGGTAGGGAAATCCAATTCTTGCAGCTATTATTGTATGATAGCAAAGTTCATCGGATGGAGAGGGGAGGGGAGGGTAGTTTACCACCCACCCACTATATCTTAGCTCGACAATTTTGACACAATACTGTACTTATGAGCTTAAATCTACTTCACAGTCAGTGTCTGTCTGTCTGTCTGTCTGTCTGCCGGCGCTGTATGATATTATACCTATGATAATAATATTATGATGCCATGAACCGTAGGCGGCGTAACCTACCGTGTACGAGTAGTAGAACCCATTCATTCCCTAGGGTAGTACAGTACCGGTACGATACAGTAGGAGTACTCGTACAGTATGTTACAGTACCACCGACACCCCCCGATCAACACCACGAAAAAACATTTTTCCGCTCCGCTCCGGGGAAATTACCCACTCCTTCCTCCCGCCCGTCCCGGGAAAAAAAAAAAAAAAAAAATTTGTCCGTCCGTCCGTCCATCCATCTAGAAATTTGTCATATCACGACCTTAGCTATTTTACCCCCTTTACCAATCTCGCCAGGAAAAGAGAGAAAGGAAGAAAGAAAGAAAACCACACATGCGCAGACTACCACCCCGAACATTCCCACACCATCACCATCACCATCACCGCCCTCCACCTCCCCATCAAAGACATCCCAATCCACCACGTACCTGCCAACGCCGTCAGATATCAACATCGCAGCCACGAACCAGCTCCTCCTCCCCCTCCTCCCCCTCCTCCTCCTACTCCTCCTACTCCCCTCCGGCAAGAATCTTCCGCGAAGCGACAACACCGACCCGTCAAAGACAAGCCACCGAACCCCCCCCACAAATCCTCCGCTTCAAAATAACCCTCGCACCACAAGGCGTTTCCAGAAAGGTTTTGGAATTGGTGAAGCGCGGTAGAGCACACACCCTTCCACCCACCCCCCCCCCCCCCCCAACCACACACACCCACTACTAATACCCACCAGCTTCGGCTTCAAAGCACCTCATCCGCGGTAATACGTCCATACAATCCGTGCTCTCGACGCTCCCGTCCGCCGGGGATGTCGGGCCGGTCATCTTCGCGCTTTCTTGTGGGTCCATCGGTAGGCATGTTCCCATCATATTGGAGTGTAATCGGTTGGGGGTTCCGTGGGTCTATGTGCCCTCATCGGCGGGTGCAGAGGAGGAGGGGGTTGTTGGGAGGACCGGGGTTGGGGCTGTTATAGTTGTGCCTTGGGTTGTTGGGGTTGGGGACAGGGATAGGGGGGGGGAGGAGGGAGAGGGTGCAGGTAGGGGAAGGTTCCAGGGCTGTTTCCAAGGAGTTTGATTTTAGGGATGCTAGAAGGGTTGTTGCAGGGTTGTTGGCTGGGGCTAGGGATTTGGATTGTGGGGGGGAAGGCGAATGGGAAGGCGAGTGATTTTTCATGAGGTGGAGAGGAGGGGGAGGGGATGTGATACCCATTGGTTTCGCGCGTTTGGTTCTTTAGACTTTGTTATATATATAAAGTGGGTTATTATACATGTATAGTACAGGTTTGTTTGCTTCTTTGTATGCTTGTGTGTTTTGGGCTAGACTAGACTAGGCTGTGAAGAAGAAAAAAACGATGCATCTTCCCTCTAACTAACCAACTAACCAACCGACCGCCCAGTTAAATAACCCGCCATCCCCCCCCCCCCCCCAGGTGATTGATATTTCCACCTAGCCATCCCGCCGTCAGGGGGAGGAACGGAGGAGCGCGGTACTAATATTACCGTAACAGAAATAGGGAAAAAAAGCCCAAAACATATATCCCCGAAGAAATGTTCCACCGGCTCGGGTCTAACCAACCTAAAGCAAAAAAGTAAGGGATAAACGTGAAGAGTAAAAGAGAAGTAAAGTAAAGTAAAGGAGGGAAAAGGGGAAAAGGGGAAAAGCTAGGTGTAAATTAATGATACAAAGAAGTGGAAAAAAAAAGAGTTAGCGGAGCGGCAGTATCATAGTAAGGAGAGTAGAAATTAAGCGTAGCCCATTAGAGGTTTCTTTTGTTGGTTGGACAAAAGAGAGAAAAAGGAAGCGTAAGTCCGTCTTGAACACCTGGCCGTAAAAGGATGAACTCAAAAAAAACCCCCCGCGAATAAAAATAGAAACAAAAGAGCAAAAAGCAAAAGAGGAAGAGAAGAAACACAATGCCAAGAAGAGGAGGGGGAGTGGCATGGTTTATCTACCCGTGAAGTGATCTGCAGCGGCGTACTGTAGATGAGCGCTTGGTCGTGGTGGTGAGCCTATATGCTCGTTTATTTCGATCGTAGGAACTGCGCTGCCAGCGTCAGATGGTGCAATATTGAATTTATGATCGGGGTCTGGTGGTAATTGATCACCTTCATCTGATGGGAGTATCGTCGGGTCCGGAATTTGTACGTCCAACTGTAACAGTTGGCGTTAGCATGGCATCAGCAACAAATGGTACCAAGAATCTCACATTCATATACCCCGTCCGTCTCAGTGGTACAAAAACCGCCCGCGACCCAGCCCTTTCCAACTCTTCATTCTGCTGCTGCAAGAACGCTTCGACGGCCCGCAATCTCCGCTTGACGTAGGTATCAATAATATCCTCCAACACCCATAACGTGAACAGACCAAACATGGCATCTAGCCAATTCCACAGATTCCATGGATCAAACGCTTTAGCGAGCTCATTGTTAACGCGTGCGATGACCATCCTGAAGCGTTCCTCGCTGACGTGCGGTTCTAATATATCCGGGAAGGTGTTAGAGTAAGCGGGCGAGAGGTCACCATTGATCATGAAATCACGCTGGATCCTGATTATGCGGGTGGATTCGTAGAGCGGTGAGTTTGCGGGGACGTATGGATTGCGGTGTGGGAAGCATGGATGGCTGCCGTTCCATTCGCTGGTACCCGAGGCGGGCGTTTGCGGGCGCGACTCTTCGTCGCCGATGACAGGTAGCCCGCTGTGTCTGCTCGGCACGCTTCTGGGCATACCGCCTTCTGGTTGCTGACCTTGTTGCAGTGCGTGATGCCTCGCCCTGTAGTTCCTCATGTCCTCCAATTTTACCCCCCTCTCTACCTCCAGCTCTATGCTATCCCTTGAGTCCCGGTCAGGATCGCCGAGCCACGAACCAGTAGTATTGCCCGTAGGCCCTCTATGGAGTCCCTCTCCTAACAAGGCTCCTGCTCCCCCTCCACTCTGCCTTACCACTGCGGGTTCCATCTTTTGCAGCGGTAACTTAATATTTGGCGTCACACTCCGACTGGTGTCCGCGTCTGTATCTGTGATTCCTCCCCCGTCATCAGATAATGGTGTATTCCGGGACATGGCGTATTTGCGACCCTTCCCTCCCCTAAATACGCGAGGGCTGTCTAAAGGGAGTAACTGCCGGAAGTTGCCCTCGTAGCGTGGGTGATTAAAGGGGTTCTGGTCCTCCGCCGCACGGCTTTCATCCAATAAAACCTCAGAGGAATCGGAGAAGCGTACGGCGGCAAGCGAGGATGTCCGATGCGATCTCGGGAGACGGTGAACCGGTGGGAGCGCGGCGGTCTGAGGTCGGGAGAGGTAGTTGATGGGGTTTAGGAGTCGGGTCGCTGGTTGTCGGATGTAGTATGGCGAGGGTGATTGCGATGAAGAGCTGGTGTCAGCTGCAGCGTAGTGAGAGGAGGAGGGGGAAGGGAAACGAGAGCGTGAGGAGAACGCCGTTGTTGCTGTTGCTCAGGGGAAAACGTTCAGTGGGTAAGCTGGCTGCGAAAAACCGCGTTTGGACTAGGCTCGTGGCTTGGCGATGGAATTGGTCTGGTTGAGGGGACCGTTGGTCAAGAGCCAATGCGATGCGCAGGTTAAGGCAAGACCGGTGATATATGACGGGAATTGAATCAATTGGCCGCTCTGGGGAAGGGTTGGAGGAGGAGATGAAAGAGAGGCGAGAGAAAGAGGGGAAGTTAATGGCCCGTTTGTGTAGCGTTTGCCCGTCAGGAAAGTTGGCAAGAATTCTCTGCCAGGAAGACATACTGCCGTCCTAAACCACCCTGTGGAGTATCATGCCGCCGAGATGAGCCTTTCCGCGCTGAGCGGGTGTCTCGTGTGGGTCCGCGAGACCTAGCTTCAATTGGGTGGGTAATTTTCAGCCCTCTCGAGACTGCTTGTATGATATGATACCTTTGTAGAGGTGAACTCTAATTCCAAAACCAACAGGAGAACCCACAGCCATTTACACATCTTGCAACAGACAAGCCTAATTTTCCTTATGCTACTGGGGCTTACAGCACGGGTGACAGCCTTCCTGACCGAACCACGGTAACACCCGAATCCCGGACCCATAGGGCACGTGGATATATAAGGCATGGAATTTCTCTTGTGAGTTTAGTCTTCAATGTGAACTACCGGTGGGGCGGGTTGCCACATCAAGTGGGAATGATATGGGTATACCAGTATTGAACACAGCCGTGGTCCTATTCTCTATTGGTACCCCATTCTAAACCCTGAAAGTGCCTAACTGAAAGAAGGAAATAGGTATCAAGAAATTGGTGGAAAAACGTCAATCAACCAAGAGGACCGCATCTACACTACCAAAGCCTGCCGCAACACCTCCCTCGTCGCTCTCCCTTCCCTTAGTTCTGAGCAGCCACCCCACCTCCTCGTTCATCACGATTTCCTTGAGGCCCTTCCCTCTCTCTTCACCTTCTCCGTCTTTCCACAAGATAGCGCCATAGACACCCAATTCCCCAACTACACCCCCACTCATCAGTCCGCCATTCCTTATGATGGTGTTCTCGAGTGACGGCGGCTCAATCAATTCCATTAGGATATACCCACTCCAGTGGGACTCCGGAATAGACTTGAGAAAGCCAGGAATATCTCCTCTATAGATATTATTCCCACCTCCTTCCCGCTGCGGCTTGAGAACGTATGTATCCGGTTTCTCAAGCGCAAGTTTACGAGCCGCTATACCGGCAGGCGATTTATCAAGAGGGTGAATAGCGGCAAACGTGCCCCGGACCTGGGAAGAAACACCTTTATCGGCGAGAAATCCCTCAACAATTCCATCCATGGCTAGGACTTGTTGTATCTTTTTAGCGCCGGCAAGTTGGGTAATCACAGATGGACATTTGATAGCCTTCGAACGTTCAAGGGTGGTCCTTGCAGCCCAGTCATCCTCCCCGGAATAATCTCCTGGCCCGTATCCCGCACGGAAGTACACAGTAGAGATCTCAATCTGTGTGTTGGGAGCGTGCGGCGGGGAATAAATCAGAGCCTGAGTACTAGAAGCTAAATCTGTGAGCTTGGGGACATCTGCAAGCGAAATGCGGTATGTCTGGACACTATGTTTTTCGAGGAGCTCGTACTCCAACCACCTCTGGTCAAAAACGTTCTTCTCCCCCGGCTGGATGATCATAAGGATGGCTGTGGATCTTCCATCCCCACCGTTGCCGTAGGCTTTGTGGGCGACTGATAATCCCTTTGCTAATCCTTGCAGGGCAGGGCTTACGGGAATGTTTTCGGGTTTGATGATGCTATCGGGAGGGTAAGCACCCATTTTTGCAAGATGTCTGTGCAACTCCGAGACTCTAGTAGACAATGCTCCAAACGACGAAGCAATGGTATTAAATTCAACTTGGTGAACCACGGGAGGAGTTTTAGGACCCTCCGGAGCGGCCATATGAAGCATATAATCTGAGCGGAAAAGGCCGAGCGAGAGCGGTTGCACAAAGCCTTCCGCTTTGACGTCCAAATGGACTTTGTAAAGTCTCGCGGTGAAATCATCGACCTTGGAGAGTCTATGACGTTTAGCATTGGCCTCGTGGTCTCATAAAACCCGCTTCTCCACTCACTCAACCATTGTCTTCTTTAGCCACTCTGCATTCCCAGCAACCCTAGCATACAGCTCGTTATAATCCTTCTGTACCGCCCTCCCTGCTTCCCAGCAGCTTCTCGGAAACGGGCTCGGGAATAGAGTGATGGGGGCGTGAGTAGCAAGTGCTCCGTTCGGGCTCAACTTTTCCGAAATAAACGATTCCGCAGGTCTGACAGTCAAACCATGGGAAAGCGAGTAATCTGTAAGGGCTTGCAGGAGATAGGATAACTGTGTTTGGGACAGCTCCGGCGGGTAAGGAGGAAATATCTCAACCACCATTATGGCAGTGTGAATGAGAGGCCGTGGAGGGAGGTTTGTAGGAGGAGCAGTGGTGCAGAACCGGTGGGTTGGTGGGGGGGGGGGGAAGAAACCTCGTGCCAAGACGGATGATGCTATGCGGCTCGCGTTCGAATCCACATGGAAATGTTTGGAAGCAACTGACAAATACGGTAGGAAGTTGTTCCGCCGGTCAGGAGCACATTTATAAAGTACTCGTATGATACTTGTACCGGTAAGGGTCGGTTGAGAGGCTGTGGAGTGCGATAGCTACTATGCACTATCGATCTGGCAGGTTGGAGACTAAGACAGTGCATTTCCCTGAATGGGCAAATTGAGGAATCCTTACGAATGCAAGTCTAATTCCGTGAGGGTCCAATGGATTTGTTGAATTGGTAGGCTATATATAAACAGATCCTGGAACAGCGATGGAAGGATGCGGTTGCCTTCCGCTAGCCTAATGTTGACGGGAGCGACCCTTTGTCCTCCAGGATGCTCCCGAATGGCAAGAGAGCATGTGTGGGTTGAGGACTGGGCCCTGTCCGAGCCCTCTCCAGTGGAGATATATCATACCTGTATGGCCGCATTTTCCAGTACTCCCTTTGGTTTCGCTTTTGTAATTATCATCGGCCGGCCAAAGGGCCTATCGCTATTACAATACTGCTAAAGATTTTCCCTCTTGTCGTAATTGCTCCTTTATTCCCCCATAGACCTGGTGAACCCGGCCTGCGAACTCCGAGTGAAAGCCGAGTGACTATTCGTGACCAGTGTGATGGGGTCTATGTAGTTTGTGTATATATGGGGTGCTTGTGGTGGGTGCACTCGAAGTTTTTCACGGTCTCCCCCCCGCAGGAAAGGGATCCCACAGCATAGAGTATGGGGTTGTGGTGCCCCAGCGATGATGATGCTGGGGCGGTAGCGGGATCCGAGGTGAAGGTATGCATGCGAAGGGTAGTGAGCCGTGCTACCTGTTCAATGGGGGGGGCAGTATTTCTCGGTTTTATCTCTCGGCGCTCTTTAAAACCCTACTTCCTTGATGGTAGTAATGGTATAGGCTTTGGGAAAGATTGGAAATAGTTCTGTTGGATGTGATTTTTTGATTGAGTATCTGTTTATTGACTCAACACCAACAGTAATATTAACTAAGATAGAGATTTAATAAATTTCCAAGCGCAATGGAGCCATCGGGGGTGGAGGTGCCGGTAGGCAATACATTCAAGACAGTAGTAATAGTAATAGCAAAAATCATTGATAGATACTATAAAAATGTCAGTCTAGCACACTGATAGCTCCTGTATAACCTTTATCAAATGTAGTATGTTTAAATATATAAGCTCTTTCTCTGCTGGATGCTTTATGGATTAGTTTGCAATCATGTGAAGATACGAGACCTTATCCTCAGTTCTAGCATGTATGTTCTGCGATAGCGTTATCAAGTACAGACATAAAGTTACGCCTCATCTCTTCTTGCTTATGAAACTCACTTATACATGTTATCCCTTTTAATAGTACCAACTTGGAACCTTCCCACGAGATTAAAGATTTCACTATTTCTATCTTTCTAGCCTGTCGACTGAAACGGTTGATTCACCTCTCGCTAACCTTATGAGATCGGAAGGGACAGCAGGCACAGTTGATATATTGAGATTTTAAGAAGGAAAGAAGGAGGCAAGAGAAGAAAGAGTATTTAGAGGACGAGTTGGGAGAGTGACTTGCATGCGGGAGGTTGTCGGTATAGAACAAATGGAAGCAAAGCGTAAACAAGAAATGTAGCAATTCAGCGAAATGGTTTTATAAACTAGGATGCAAGCAATAGAGTAGGAAAAAAGGGTTTACCATAGAACCCAGGAACAGAACATTTGGGTTCGCAAGGAGACTAGACCTGGCTAGTAACTGAACGGGGGAAACTAAAGATGTATGAATGAATAAAATAAATAGCTAAATGGAAAGAGGTAAGCGGAAGAATGTCCTTTGCATTGAGTAGCTATGAGACGGAAAATATCTACCAACCGGCCGGTCCGGAGGACAATAGGCGTTGGTGGAACCAGTCGAAATGATACAGTGTCGGAGAGCAACAAGGTGACTTGTTTTTATTCCGTCTGTCCCTCCACTCCATCTGATCGTTGTCCATCCACCTTTCCACTCCAACTAACCCGTTCTGTCCCAAACGCTCCCTTATCTTTCCGTTTCTTAGTTCCGTGCACTCCACTCAACTTTCCTCCATTCCTCCTCTTGCAACCTTCCTGATCCCTACACAACACCAACCACGACGATATAGAGTAAAGGAAAACATAACATTGACCCAAACCAGCCTCTAGTCGTTAGTCTATTAGTATAACAATGCAAAAACCCGTGCACAAAAGTATGGAAACAAAAGGATACCAGACAGAAATAGCAACAGAGAAGCCAAGCCATCGCTCAAAGCATCAAGGAGAAAGCCAGGTAGAACATAACCAGACATTGAAACGCCAGAACTCGATGACATTGCTAACAAAGAAGTGATTTGCAGAGCAGAAATGAAAGAAAAGAGAAATGGGTGAAGATCATAGGGAGGTTTTTTTTTTCGCCGACAAAGCGAGGAAAAGCGCCGAGTGAGATGAGAGAATGGTACCAAAAACATGAAAGTTCGAAGCCAGCCAGCGTATTAGAGTAGTTTGATGAATAATTTCCAAAAGGAAGCAATGGGACACTGGCATCTACTCGCGGATGTTTAAGTTACGGAATGATCCCACTGGCGGAATTTTGTCGATCCCGGGACTGGGGGCAGTAGGTGTCTGGAGTGTTGCAGGAGTTGCTGGAAGTCTACTGCTACTTCCGGGATTCGGCTCGCTTGGCTTTACGGCTAGGGGGAACCCAGCTCTCGGATGGCCATGAATGTTGAGGTTGAAGCGACTACTGATGGGTCTTGGGGCGACTGAGGATGAAGCTGCAACGCTTTCAGTTGCAGGAACCGCTGCATCAGCAGCCAACTTTGTGGGCTGTGCTTGGCCAGTTGCATGGGAGGCAGCAGGAATTGCTGGGGTAACGGGCGCCGAAGAGGAGGGAGGAACATACTGGGGGATAACAATTGGTCGAGTTGATTGCGGAACAATTGGGGAACCGGTGAATTGCATCTCTCTTGCTGTTGCTGCTATTTTCTCCCCCGCAATTTGCTGGGCAACAGGGTCCGGAGCTTGGAATTGATGCTGCCGATAATGAGGATCTTTGCGCTGCATCTGATTCTGCTTCAGGATCTCGTCTGTTTCACGAAGCTCCTGTTCGGTAAGGACGTCGTCGGGATCGTGCTGGAAGCTCTCCGAGTACTGAATAGCAGTGATGAAGTCAACGCTATGAAACAATTAATTAGTAACTAATTTGGTAACTTCGGAGTTAGGGGCCCGTGAGCAATTACTTTTGCATGATCTTATCCAATACAGGATCCTTTCCTTGGTACTCAGTTAGGTCTTCTTTTGGAATGTCAGCAGGCTCAAGGAGATACTGTCTGAAGTCTTTGTGTGCCGTTCGAAGCGGATCTTGTTTGTCAACCACTCTGGACTGTAACTGGCTCTTGAAAAGAATCTTGTTCCTCTTAAGATCCTCAAAAGTTCCAACCGCATGAAACCTGTAGACAAAAACATGCTTTTTCTGACCCATCCTGTAGGCTCTTCCGACGGCTTGCTCCTCCCACATTGGTGACCACTTGAAGTCGAAGATTATGATACGATTGGCACCCGGCAAGTTCAGCCCTAATCCACCAGCCTCAGTAGAGACGAGAAACACATCATTGCCACCGGAGTTGAAAGATTTGGTTGCCGATTGTCTTGTACTCATCTTGGTCTTTCCGTCAAGTCTAAGGAAGCTAATGTTCCAGTCCTCAAGTAGTTTATGGAGGTAATTCAAGGTGTAGACACCATGAGAAAAAATTAAGATTTTGTCTCCAAGTTTGATCGAATGCTCAACAATGCTTTTTAGTAATTGCATCTTGTGTGAATGCAATAAAGCTCGAGGGTTTTCGATTTTGCTGGCCAGCTCTTTGGTCCAAGCGTACTTTTTGTTTGCGCCCTCAAGTAACTCTTCATTGGGAGAGAGGTCATCCAAATCAATCAATTCTTGAAGCTCTTCATCTTCTAGGTAGAAGATATCTTGCTTCGACTGTTTGTACTTTCTGACGGCTGCTTGTGCTTTTTGGCCCCGCTCCTCAATTGTATCTACAAAACACATTGGGTGATTGCAAATCAATGAGAGAAGGTGAACAATATCGAAGAACTGGGTTACAGGTTTAGCTTTACCATCGCTGCCCTCGATAGCACCCGTTACATCTGGATCATTGACGAATTTGGTGTACCTAGAGGCAGTTGAAGATGTCAGCATCAAAAAGATTAAAGGAAAGAATTTGACAGCTTACATTTCAACTTGCCAGGGCGTCAGGGGTACCTTTACCAGAAACTCCGTCTTTTGAGGGAGATCCTTTTCAATTACCTTCACATCGGCTCTGTGCACCTTTGGGCCAATATCCTTTTTCAGAACAGTCAACATTTTCAAGCAATACCGCCTCTGGCTCAAAGTACTGTCTGCATAGAGCCCATCCTGTATGGGGTGTAAAAACTTGGCTTCGAACTCCTTACTAGGCCCTAAAAATCCAGGATCAATCCAGTCAATCATTGTCCAATATTCCATCAGGTTATTGGATAATGGTGACCCTGTCATGGCTACTCGGGATTTGGAGCGGAAGAGGCGGGTGGCTTGACTGATTTGCGCCTTAGGGTTTTTGAGCGAATGAGCCTCATCAGCAATAATGATGTTTGGACTATTCAGAAGGTAATCACGAATCTGTCTATGCCGGTCTACAGAGATATTGAGTGTTGGGGAACTTGAACTCTTCCGGGGCCTGTTGTCAATCAGGTTTCCTGCCAGACGGTTAGCGTGATTATTTAGAGCCATAGATCTTGAGATCTCCATACGGAATGAAGTATAGCCCATCAGCAATACCCCGCCCTCCTTGGCCCACTTAATTATTGTCCCCAGCCTCGTAGCTAAATTAACGGTAGAGTCTGCTCGGTATATCTGTCCAATTGCTGAAAGATCAAGCTGGTCGGGGTTATCCGGGCTTTGAGGCAACCACTTCTGGAATTCATCCCACCAATTCTCCACCAGACCGGGCGGGCTAAGTATAAGGGTCTTTGATTCCCTTAGAGCTTCTGGTATTTGGCCGATAGTGGCCTCCAGTTTGGACGCTGTCGCAGTGGCTAGTGTATAAAGAAAGGTGATGCTGTCAAATTGAGTTAACATTTGAATGATTCAGTTAATCATTGATTAGGCATTACTCACACCTGTAGGGTCTTCCCCAAACCCATGGTATGTGCTAGAAGTGCGCCCCTTCCTTCCCCACTCTGAACGAGTTGTTGCCATAGAAACCGTACTCCATCAACCTGATGAGGCTTGAGTATTCCGGCGAAATCAGGATGGAAGTAGATATCATTATACTTCTTGTACTTTCCTAAATTTATTGCAACTCTCTTAGGATCTGGAGCAATTCTGGATCTCTCCTGAATCCTGATACGGTTCATCAAGTTCCGTTGCTTCTTAAGAGCACGTTCTCGAAGGGCCCTGGCATCAGGATCTTCATCAACCGGCTTTCGAACCTTGTTTCTCTGACTCGGGGTTGATTGCGGTGCTGGAGACTGAGTAGAGCTGTTTCTGAAGTAGTTAGGGCAAAAAGCAGCTGGATATTTCCTTGTTTTTGTTGCACTTACCTGGAAGCCCTACTCACACTACCCCTACTGCCAACATTACTCTCCCTTCCACCATTCCCCGACTGGTCACGGTCAGATCCGCCACCGCCTTCAACATGTGGAACATCATCGACGTGAGTTAGTCTTCGCAAAATAGTGCGAAACTCTCTAAAGCGAGCTGAACTTTCCGCCTTCTTAATTTCTTCTGAGCTAAGCTTATGATGCTTAGATAATTCTTTACCCAAGAGCCAAGAGAGGTACAATTTCGTGAGTACCCTATAGATTTCAGAATTGTATCTATTAAAAGAAATTCAGCAGTCGAAGAGGGGAGAATAGGGACTAAACCAAACTCACCTATCAAGGCCAGTATAATACTTGAGCTTCTCTACGTGGATCTGCCTAGCCACAGATATAACAAGCGAAAATATCTCTGTACGTAAAAATTATTAGGTTAAACGTATTTGAGAAGGGGGGTAAAAAAACACTTACTTGCAAGCTTGTTTTCCTCCATCCGATAAAACAGGGCTTCTTGCACCCGGAGCCCAATGTCCTTAACCAAACGAGTAAGAAGTGCGAGCGGAGTCTCTTGCTCATCGTCAGAAAGTTCTTGTATCTCGATTTCAACATTCTTCCGTTGAGCAGGCCTCGTTGGGGCTCTGAATTGATTCATTAGCCCAGGGGGAGTGTCTTCGAGAGTGAGGTCGATGATGGGAATTGGGCCATTTTCATTAGGAATCTGCTGAGAAGACGAAAGTTCCTGTTTGACTGTAGGTGTTGGAGACCGGGTTCCACCTTTGCGCTTGCCTTTTGGCTTGGACGGTAAACCCGAGCGTGGAGCCGGAGAATGCTTATCTCGTGGGCCCTCGCGAGCATCTTGAAATTCTGCATCTGAACATTCGGTATGATCACGAGCAGCTGCAATGACATCGACCACCTCATCGACTTCGTCATCTTGAACAACACGTCTGCCTCTCTCTAGCCTCCTCCTGGTGGATACAGGTGCTTCTCCCTCACTTGAGTCTACAAGCTCCTTTAAAGCCTCCAAGCGCTCCTCTTCTTGCTGCCGGAGCTGTTCATTTACCTCATCCTCACCTTCGATTTGTATAGCTTTGCCATCGACATAGTCTCTCACATCATCGCTAACAATAAATCCATCCAAACCTTCGTCTTCGCTCTCATAATCCGGTTCACTGTCGTCGCTGCCCAGACTCTCATCGCAGCTATCATCTCCATCATCACCGTGGCTCTCTTCGGCGTCATTCGATTTGTCGGCTAAACCTTTGACTTTCGGAATAGTCTTTGAGGGCCTTTCTGGCGGAGTCTTGCGCTCCATGAGATTAATGAGCCAGAGACATAACTCGCGCTCATGAATTGACAAGGACATAATTTTAGTCTGTGCTTTGACGGTATCCTTACTCAACCAAATAAGACCGGAGATCTCCCGCCTCTGAGCCTCAATCCTCTCATTGAGTTCTTCCAATCTCTGCTTCTTTTCATGAGCAGTCTTCTTGCGCTCTTTCCTCCTTCTGGCGCTTTGCCATATCCGGAACGACTGGGCTTCCTTCTTGGGTAGGACTTTGGCGTGCCATTCAGCAACCCTCAGCTTGATCCCTTCATCTATCGCCTCTTGTATTTCTGTGGCAGAAAGGGGGAGTTTCTTCTTCGATTTGCTCAATTGTTTCCGTTGGGGCCCTTTCTCAGCCTCGTATTCTCTCCAGTATGAAATAGTGGCTTCATTCTCAGAGCCCGATTCGCCAAATACTGGCAATATGTGATCATCCTCTATGTTTTGCCATTTGGTTAAGTAATCCCAATCATGAATGGAGTTATCGGCGGTGTTAAGAGTTGGTTGGGTGTGATTCGGCTTGTCCATAAATTTGACAATTTGTTTGTCTGTCGAGGAATCCGAGGCCGGAGTTTTGGCACCGGGACCTCGCCAAGGAAGACTAGATTTGGAAACAGCCTCTCTGGATATACGGCAAGACTCGTCTGGCCGGACATTGTAGATAGTGCAGGACTGGGGGTGGTGCTTGCGCACAAGGCCTTCCTTATAAGGTTTGACCCCAACACGGAGATGGCCAGTAGACGAGAGCACAGCGACGCGCTCCGCCCCGCTTAAAAAGTGGAATATTTGACGGTTTACAACCTGTCGCAGCCCAGGGGGTTTATCAGATGGCACTATATACTTTAAATCAGTGAAACATACCAAAATCAAAAGGGGGAAGTACTCACCAATAACGAAATTATCGTCATCTGAATCACTCTGGTGAATCTCCTCACCCACCCCGACATTGTAGAAAATTTGGTCTACCCCAACGGCCTTGGGTAAGAGGTAGTGTCGTTTCTGCTGAGTGGATTGTCTAAGGGAGGGCAGTCGTAACACAACAATTTTACTTGTGTGTCGATCTTGCCGCCCTCCGGGATCCATCTCACTATCTTCCTCATCGGCGGTGTCGCTCGACTCTGCGGTATCCAAGGGTGGAGCGACAACCTCTTCGTCTTGGCCTACCTCCCCTTCTCCGCCCCGTCTGGAATCATTATCAATCTCCATCCTACCATCGGATGGATCGCCATCCGAATGCAGTGATTCTGGGCGAGGGAGAGTACGGAAAGGCACTGGATTAGCGCTGTCACCATTCTCCTCGATCCTAATAGCCGGGGTCGGCGGTAGGTCCCCGTGGTTGCTATCCTCGAAGACCTTGAACGGATTGCGGAGAAGCAGCGGACTAGTAGTGGCAGGACGTGAAATAAGGTTGAAAACCTTTCTGGGGCCTCCGGGGAGTGGTGGGGTTTGTAGAGGATTTCTAGTAGCTTCTAAGGCCTCCGAAACCCGCGGCTTAACGTTAGGGCTGTCTAAGATAAAAGGCAGCTTACGCTTCCTCGGAACAGAGGGCGTAGAGTCCGGGAGCACAAGAGGCTTAATTAGAGTTTCTGAGAAATAGCGCGGAGGAGCATGTAAGCGGTTGTCATGGAGTGAGGAGTAGTAACCCGTTTCTCCATCGTCATCAGGCAAGGGTGTGGCCATGGCAACTTCTAGTGTGTACGCATCGTACTTTGGGCTATCCCTTCGTAGACTTTGAATCTTCCTCATAATCTTCTCACGCTTTCCCAGAGGGATAATACCGATGTCGGTCTTCAAGCGTTCATAGTTGCAAACAGTTAGGAGCACCCGTCCGTCAACCTCATTGTACCTCAAAGAATTGGAAATTTTCTCGTCATTCGCTGAGACCGCAGCGACAACGGCGTCGACGTCCCAATCGAAAGGATCCATCTCGCCCTGTGTGCCACTTATCCCATACCGACGATTGTTAGCAAATTGGAGAAAAAAAGGGGAAAAAAAAGGAGAGAAAGACAAAGCTCAATTGCAAGAGAGGAAGATGTAGGAAAAATATTTACCACAACCCAAGAGCAAACAACCGAAAACCACCCACGGGCGAAAGTTGGCAAGTGGAGTGAAAGGAGAATACTGCTAATCAGAAAATCTACCAGAAGTGTAAATGACGGTGGTCAAGCGGGAGTGTGGGGGGTGTTGCGGTGGGGTGTTGCAGTGGGGTGTTGCGATGGAGAGGCAGTGGGGTGTTGCGATGGAGAGGCAGTGTGGAGGTGTTGGAGAGAAAGTGTGGAGGTCGAGATGTCTAAGATGGTGGAGAGCTAATGCTGGGTTTCGCGTTTAAATGTCTTGGCTGCCTCTTAGGGAGTACGAGACCTAGTGCTATGTAATCGTGCCCCGTGACGATAACCCGCACTGACCACACCTTTTTATCCTAACCAACAGATCCTTGGCAGTTTGTAAGCAGGTTGAACACCGGTACGGTACGCTGGGGGAAGTCTATAAGTTAGACTACGATGCTAACCGTACGAATTATCAGAAGAAAAACCAGTTTAAGGAATGAAAATAGGAAAGGAAGGCAAAAAAAAAAGAGAGGAACAAGCGCGGGCTGGGGTAAGGAGAATTTAAGGTGAAAACAACATGCAGTACTCGAGGAGATATGAGTGACATACCCCGTGTGGCTCCTCCCCAAGCGCCACGAGTGTTTGAATTCAAAATTGGTGACGAGTAGTAGCGCTACCGGGTCAACGTCCGTCCATCAGTCAAGACAGGTTGTCGGCTGTTGGTCTGGCAGAGGATATCTAGTTCGCGGCTAGAACCTATTCGTATCTACCTGTCGTTGTTTATCACAAACAGGTAGTTGCAGACAAGAACAGTTCGCTCACCAACAGGTACCAGATAATTAGCATTAAAAGGTTTCTACGGTTGAACCTAGGTGTCAAGATCTGGCTGAGAATAGCACCAGACACGGAGTATTTATGTAAGTATTAGGGTTTATACAATGACTCATTTGAGAATCTGTCGTGATTCATAAACCTACCTGAAGGTGTTGAAATTTTCTAATTCACTTCATGTATATTTTTCTTGATAATATTGTATATTCCTCTACTTGGTATTAATGGTGTTATTTTTTAAATTATAAATAACTATTTCATAAGTAGTACTGTCTTATACTATTATGGATTCCTGCATATTTATTGGAATTTCCTTGGTCAAGGGATTCACTCCTGCTTGACTCATAATTATGAGTCATAACAGTATTGATTAGTAATCTATTTAATTGTCAGGTATATGACTCAATTACATTATATGAAGTGATAAGCGATTGTGCTACAACCTACATATAAGTTACTGAGTTTTATGATATAGTAGAGTTATATTATCTTAGATATAACATAGTAAAGATGAGGTTTTGCATGAATCAGGATTCTGAGTCATAGGTGTATTACTTTTACACCTGACTTGTTTTAGAGTCATGGGATTTTACACAACTCATGGTAGTAATATCATCAGTATATTATGATTGGTTGATTATTTAGTAACTTACAATTATGAGTTACATAATGTTATAACTTTCATACAAGACTTACTAGTATATTATAAGTCATGGGTTTCACTCAAGTAATGTGAGTTGCATATCTAACTTAGTTATTGAGTTTTGATTGGTATAAGAGAGACTGTATAGCAACTCATAGGAGTTGGCTAAAGGATCTCACATAACTCACAGTAGTGAGTCATATATTATATAGGACTCATAGATATAAGTTACAAGGGTTAAGTTGTATGAAGAGTAACTATACTCTATAATTTTTAAAGTAATTGGAATAGGAAAAATAGAGTTATACAACTCAGGTGTAAGTAAGAGTTCTAGCAGCAGTACTTGGCTAACAATTATTATTCTAGGTAAGGCACTTGGCTGTTTTACTTATGCAAGTATAAGGAAGTTGGCTAACTTATGTTCTGATTACTTTAAAAATCACTGAGTATAAGGAAGTGATAGGACCCAAAGGGAGAAGCTCTTCATACTACCCTTTATTTATTTCCTTATCTTTTAGTTTTGTTACTTCATTTAAGAAAACTCATTATATTCTCTCAAATATCTATTGTTCTTAAAAACTATTCACTTTAAGATAGCTCAGTAGACATTATACAATAGGAGTCAAGGACTTGGCTATTAATGTAATATAGATATCAGCCTAAGAACTACTAAGCTATATTAAGAAGTCTGTTACCTGTTGTTCAAGCTATTAGTTATCGGTAGAGATTGTTACAAATGTCTCATAACTGTAAGTCATAATAATTATGTTTGATTGTTGATTGATAAGAAAGAAAGCTTGTATCTAACAAGTCTTGTATATCAGATATTCAAAATATATAAGATTCAAATACAAAACTTAATCAGGATACTATAGTTCCAGGTATCTAAACTTGAGATACAACTATTATATCTACTTTAAATCAGGATACAACTAGTGAGTACTACACCAACTTGAATATTCAGAATGTAAGTATTATTTTTCAAACTTATACTGGAATAGGGCCTTATAATCTGAGTTATATAAATTTAATTTTATAAGCTTGAAAATAAAGAATTGTAAAGATTACTCTAGCCATAGTATTGGTATTGTGTCAATAGGGAACAAATATTTTTCTCATATCCTAGGAGTTCTTAACCTCCTAGGAGATTATATACTCCTAATACTAAGTACACTTACTAGAACTTATTAGAATAGAGATATTCAATCATATAATATACTAGTAGTTATTAGTAAGGTATAAAGAATGTATTGTAAAGTATCTTGTAGTAACTACTACTTAGATGGGTGTGTGAGGAACTAACTAACTAGCTAGGTTCATCTCTTCATATAGTTCTTTATCAATAAACCCTAACCCTGGTAACGCATATCTATCAGTCATGTCTAACATATAACTCAGAGTTGTAAGTCATATGAGATTCATCCGCTGACTACTATGAGTTACTATGTAATATACCTTTAATTAAATGCAATCAACAGATAGAGTCAGGTGCATAACCCATATCATGTGAGTAAAATCCATGACTTACAAGTGTGAGTCATGTGTGAAAGTTATAATATCATATGACTTACAACTATGAGTCATCAAATACAAACTTAATAATAAATTATATAATAATCTACAACTCCTAAGGGCCTGTTTGGTTGCACTGGTCCTATTCAGGACCGTTCCAGTATGAAATGGTTGGACCCATGCAAACGGTTGTCGTCCATTCAACACCACTCACTTCTAATGAATGCTATGAACCCTTTTTGACTGAAAAAAAATTAAAAAAGTATTATTGAGCCTCTTGAAAAAAATTCAATAATGCATCTAATTCCTCCCAAATTCATACCTTTGACCCCCTGCCAACAGTGTTCCTGTATCTGCATATAGGGGATTATCTTCAAATAGAGATGCTATTGAATCAATAGATATTTTAAAATGCCTTTCTGATATTATTAATGTCTAAGGAAGTTATTCCATAGGCAAATAATGGTTGTCCTGAGGTTGTGAATATTTATATTCATAGGGTAACTGTTGCATTAGGGCTGTTGTGAAATGGAATTGTTGGTACCTTTTACCATTACCAAACAGCTATTTTATTCTTCCATTTCAAAATGGAAGGGAAATGGACATTTGTATAAACAACGAAATGGGACCAGCGCAACCAAACAGGACCTAAGGCCCTGTTCGGTTGCGCTAGGTCCATTTTAGACCACTCCAGTATGAAATGAATGGACCTGTAGGAATGGTTACCAATTGGGCACCACCATTCACTAGTGGCAAACGTGAAAAAATTTCACTTTAGGGCTTTGTGAATTTTTTTTTACAAGTGCCTTCAATCCTTTTAAAATTTAAGCTTTTAATACTCAACCAACAAGCTTGTGAAAATAGCTAGATAATAGATTAAATATTAGATACACTATAATAATAGCTACTTGTAATAAAATAAAACAATTTTTCACTATAAAATAGTGTCTCCACTATGCTGAAACTGCTTCTATACCTTTCTGCTTAATGTCCTGTAGCCAACAGTCTACAAAAACATAACTAGTTAGTCTTTAATACTTATATGCCAAGAAGGTAAGAGTAGACTATGCTCAGTTATCCAGTCCTGAAGATCCAAGAAAGTGGTTGTTGGCATACATACAAGCTCCATCAGATAATATGGATGTGCTTTTAGGATTTCTTTAGTATATTGGTAACCAGTATTATTGGAAGTATGTACATACTTGGTAGACAGAAAGAAGTTAATGTAAATTGCTGCATTAATTGCAATTTGTATTCATTGATGAAGGATTACAGCATAGATGTGATTATTATCTACTGGAGTACTTATTATTAAATTGTTTTAAATTGGAATTCAAATTAAAGATGTCTTATAGATAATAATATTTATACTATAAAAAATATATTCTATTGATAATATTATTATTACAACTATATACTTATGATGTTTCTATATAGCAATTGTTGTATTAGAGCTATATCTGAAATAGAAGGTCAATACCTTTTACTGTTACCAAACAGCTATTTGGTTCCTCTATTTTGAAATGGAAGAAAAACAGTCTTTTGTATGTAAAAATAAAATGGCCCCAGCACAACTGAACAGGGCCTAAGCAAGTTGGGAGTAAAAACAATTTAGTACTGATATAGTAGGAAATCCTGAACAATTTAACTTAGGCTCCGTTGGGCATGTACCAATAAAAATATATCGTAATAAAAGTTAAAAATGGCATATATGCTAATAAAAAAATTCAGCAGTAAAAGCATATATATGCGTTTGGCAAACATGCTACAAGTATGTGAAAAAGAAAAAAAACAGAAATTGTAGTCACACAACTTAGCTTAGGGCAGGTATCTATGATAAACTGTACTGTAAAAAAACTTTTAACTTCTTTTATAGTTTTTCTACTGTACTG